GTGAGTGATAGAGCCTCTAGTTTGATCTTAAAATCAAATTGACAGTACAAAAGTACACATGTATTACTAAATGAATAAAAACTACATTGTCAATACAATTTTATTAAGGTTTTTGTCTCACCTTGACGGAGTCAAAAAGCAAAACTTAGGTATGCTGTTTCCGACGGTGGCTGTTGTGTCAACAATGTATTAGTTTGTGATTAGGTCAGTTTATGGAGAACCACTAGTAGAAGGTCTATGATATCTGGTATGCAGCTGTATTAACATTAGCACATCTCTTTTCAATGGAGATTATTTTGCCCTGCCCCTCAGTCATGGTCTGTTGACTTTGAAACTTTTGCTTAGTTTACATGTATTAGTTTGTGATTAGGTCAGTTGAAAGGGGACCACTAGTGGTAGGTCAATGGTATTGGTATGTAGATGCATTATCATTGGCACATCTCATTTCTATGGATATAAAAATAAGAAGATGTGGTATGACTGCCAATGAGACAACTCTCCCCAAGAGACCAAATGACACAGAAATTAACAACTATAGGTCACTGTGCCACCTTCAACAATGAGCAAAGCTCATACCACATAGTCAGATATAAAAGGCCCAAAATGACAAATGTGAAACAATTCAAACGAGAAAACTAACAACCTAATTTATGTGCATAATAATGAACGAAAAAACTAATATGTTACACAGCAAAAACTGACAACCACTGAATTACAGGCTCCTCACTAGGGACAGGCACATACAGAATGTGGCGGGGTTAAACTAGTTTGTTGGTGCCTAACCCTCCCCCTAACCTGGGACAGTGGTGAAACGACACAACAGAAGAACAAACTAGCACTATGCAAAACAATAAACGAAAAACAAATATGAGAAACAGCAAAAACTGACAACCACTAAATTACAGGCTCCTGACTTGATACAGGCACATATAGAATGAGGCAGGGGTTAAACTTGTTTGAAGATGCCAACCCTCCCCTAACCTGGGACAGTGGTGTAACAGTACAACATAAGAATAAACTATAAAAATCAGTTGAAAAAGGCTTAACTCATCAGATAGATACAAATAGAAATACTACATCTAACAAAAAAACAGAGTGGACGTGGCAGGGTACTTATACATCCCCACAACAAAAAGACACTAAGTACAGATCTGAGAGTACTCACAGTTACTGACAGCTAAGGATCAAAGCCAATAACAACTAATTAAAAAAATCATGCATCTCAGACAGTCAGACTAAGATTATTTGACTTCACCCCCTCAGTCATGGTCTATTGACTTTCAATGTTTTGCATAGTTAACATGTTAAAGTTTGTGATTAGATCAGTTTAAGAGGAATCACTAATATTAAGTCAATGATATTAGGTATGCAATTGTATAAGCATTTACAAGTCTCTTTTCCATGGAGATTATATAGCCCCATCCCCTCATCATTGTTCATGAATTATATAACTTTAAAACTTTTACATTGTTTATAAGTTAAAGTTTGTGTTTTGGTTAGTGTAAAGGGCACCACTTATCATGCTTATGATAAGTAAATGGTATTTGGTATGCAGTTTTATTGTCTCGCCTTGACAGAGTCAAAAAGCGAGACATAGGTATGCTGTTTCCAGCAGCGACGGCAGCATCAACAATGTATTAGTTTGTGATTAGGTCTAGTTCATGGTGAACCACTGGTGGTAGGTCAATGATATTTGGTATGCAGTTGTATTAGCATTGGCACATCTCATTACCATGGAGATTATTTGGCCCCGCCCCCTCAGTCAAGGTCTATTGACTTTGAAACTTTGCTTAGTTTACATGTATTAGTTTGTGATTAGGTCAGTTTATGGGGAACCACTAGTGATAGGTCAATGATATTTGGTATGCAGTTGTATTAGCATTGGCACATCTCATTACCATGGAGATTATTTTGCCCCGCCCCCCTCAGTCAAGGTCTATTGACTTTGAAACTTTTGCTTGGTTTACATGTATTAGTTTGTGATTAGGTCAGTTTGTGGGGAACCACTAGTGGTAGGTCAATGATATTTGGTATGCAGTTGTATAAGCATTGGCATATCTCATTTCCATGGAGATTATTTGGCCCCCCCCCCCCATTCATGGTCTATTGACTTTGAAACTTTTTCTTAGTTTTCATGTATTAGTCATTTTTTAGTTATGTGATAAGGTCAGTTTAAGGGGAACTGTTAGTGGTAGGTCAATGATAATTGGTATGCAGTTGTATAAGCATTAGCACATCTCATTTCCATGGAGAATATTTGGTCCTTACCCCTCAGTCATGGTTTATTGACTTTGAAACTATTGCTTAGTTTACATGTACTTGTTTGTGATTATATAATTAGGTCAGTTTAAGATGAACCACTAATGTTAAGCATTTGTTAAGTCAATGATATTCAGTATGCAAATGTATTGGCATTTGCAAGTTTCATTTCCATGGAGATTATATAACCCCACCCCCTAATTATGGTTCATTGACTTTGAAACTTTTACATAGTTTACAAGTTAATGTTTGTGTTTAGGTTTGTTTAAAGGGAACGACTTATGAAAAGTCAATGGTATTTGGTTTGCAGTTGTATTAGCATTGGCACATCTCATTTCCATGGCGATTGTTTAGCCCTTCAGTCATGGTTCATTGACTTTGAATATTTGCATAACTTACATGTTAAAGTATTGCTATTTTAATTTCAACATTTGCATTATCAAAATAACAAATAGGCGAGACATATCTCTGTGTTAACAGTATATTAACTTTTATAAGTATTGGATTGGCATTTCTCATTTCCATAAGAGGTTTTTTGGTCATGCACATTAAGTCATGGTTCATCATGTACATGTTTAAATATTGCCATTTGGATTATACTACCAAATTACAAAAAGGCGAGACATATCTCTGAGCACACGTGTCAACAGTTTAATCAATATATATACAGTATCATCATGATCATATAATGATATATTTGTCATAGATGAACACAAAAACATGACGAAACCAAAACGGTAATTGACTTCCACTTCTCCCTACTCTCTCTGAAATCCTAGATTAGACCTTGAAAACCTGTGTCCTTTGATTGACAGAATACCCAAGGTCTCAACAATGTATCTTAATGACTTTTTATGTCTGTAAAAACAATGGGATGTGCAAAATGTTACATTGGCAGATATTATAAAATTTTATAGTCAGGACCCACAGATAAGACAATTTGTGTGAACTGTGACATACGGGTACCATATTGTAACATAAGGCAAGTGTATATATAGCTATAGGCAGCAAAAATTGGCTCTTCTGAAGTTAATGGTTATGAGTAAAAAGGGAAAAAGGTAACTCTAAAACTTATAGTCCCTTTAATCATTTCACAGGTGTTTTGACAAGTGCTACAAAGGGGATTTACAAAAATGTAGGTGCATTCTGTACAGAAAAACCTGTTCACCTTTTGAAAAGTTTTAATTCTGGCAGGATTTTGAGATTCTTTTATATTCACCATTGAACATAGAATATGGTCATTTCAAAGTGACCAAACACAATGACACACCTGAATTTCCTTTTTACTACTCAATTACACTGTTAAACTCACCTATTGTTGTGAAGATATCCAATGTAATATATATCATGTATATCAACTACAACTGAAACAATTGTTTCATGAGGGGGTCATCAAAGACTTCTCACAAAATTTATCAAAATATAGAACAAAATTTTTACAGGTTGGGAACAAGCCCAAAAAAGACATAATCAACAAAACCTAAAATATTTTGCCTGCTAAGCCATTGATTTTTAGCTCACCTGGCCCAAAGGGCCAAGTGAGCTTTTCTCATCAATTGGCGTCCGTCGTCTTTGTTGTCGTCAGCTTTTACAAAAATCTTCTTCTCTGAAACCACTGGGCCAAATTTAACCAAACTTGGCCACAATCATCATTAGGGTATCTTGTTTAAAAAATGTGTCCGATGACCCCGCCAACCAACCAAGATGGCCGCCATGGCTAAAAATAGAACATAGGGGTAAAATGTAGATTTTGGCTTATATCTCTGAAACCAAAGCATTTAGAGTAAATCTGACGTTGGTAAAACTGATTATCAGGTCAGGATCTATCTGCCCTGAAATTTTCAGACAAATCTGACAACCCGTTGTTTCGGTTGCTGCCCCTGAATTGGTAATCTTATGGAAATTTTGCATTTTTTGGTTATTATCTTGAATATTATTATAGATAGAGATAAACTGTAAACAGCAATAATGTTCAGCAAAGTAAGATCTACAAATAAGTTGTCATGACCAAAATTGTCAGTCGACCCCTTTAGGAGTTATTGCCCTTAATAGTCAATTTTTAACAATTTTTCGTAAATTTTTGTAAATTTTTACAAATATCTTCTTCTCTGAAACAAATTTAACCATACTTGGCCTTAATCATCATTAGGGTATCTAGTTTAAAAAATTTGTCTGATGACCCCGCCTTCCAACCATCATGGCCGACATGATTAAAAATAGAACATAGGGGTAAAATGCAGTTTTTGGTTTATATCTCTGAAACTAAAGCATTTAGAGCAAATCTGACAGGTGGCAAAAAAGTTCATCAGATTTAGATTTATCTGCCCTGAAATTTTCAGACGAATCGGAAAACCCGTTGTTGGGTTGCTGCCCCTGAGTTAGTAATTTTACAGAAATTTTGCAGTTTTTTGTTAATATCTTAGATATCATTATAATATCTAATATCTAATACTATTAATCATGATTTTAACCTTATTTTACATGATTTCCAAAGCATCAGTAATTACAGGTGAGCGACACAGGCTCTCTAGTTTACTGGTAGATTTATTTAATTACTGATTGGACAATTTAATGAACTTGTCCTCTATGTGCATTTTAGTCTTGACCAATAAAATTTTTACAAGTAAGATTAAATGTACATGCACAAGAGTTGGTAAAATCACTTGCATCTATACCTTATTACATTATGAAATGAGGAAAAAATTTAGTGGATGTATTTAATTCTGATTTGTATATTTCAGTTGGTATGGAATTCTGGAAACAGCTTTGCTCTGAGCATGGAATCAGTCCTGGTAAGCTATGATTCCTATGAACTACTGATGTTAGTTGCTTCAAATATCAGCTTTGATGAAAAAGCACTCAAATAAACATGATAAAAGTAGAACATTATAAATGATGTGAAGATAATGTGATGTTGCATGATTGCCAATCAGACAACTATCCACCAAAATTTAAAGATTAAAGAACAAAGATGTAAACAATTACCATACAACATGTACAATGTATGCTCTGAAACCCTACAGGTTATCAACAAAGATCAATACCAATACAGTATACATGTAGTAAGCGAAAAAAGGCCCTTGGCAAAAAAATGGGAAACAATATAACAGAGAAAAATTTAGCATGTATTGACATATTGAAAACTCCAGTTCCAGTGATAAAGTGGGCTATTTTAGTTTATTGATTGATTGATTATTGCTTGCTTAACATCAAGTGGCAATTATTTTAATCATATTCAGGATAAGAAACTTTATACAATTAATACAATCCTTAGCTTTTGCAAGGGTTCTTTAACGTACAGAGAGCAGCTAATGGATGAGAAGAAGACCAAAGTGACCATATTTCTAGACACCAGTTACTCTTGTATGTTTGATAGTTACTATTGTAATGCCAGAACTCAGACAGCTTATTCTGTTTTTTTATTGTTTAATTATTGCTTAACTTCCAACATTGTCCAATTGTTTTTGAGAGTAGACGTGATAATGAATACATAGTACATGTTGTATTTAAAAAAATCATATGTTGCATTTGTATATAGAAAGAGAACTGAGAAGAAATAGATTTTTCAGAAATTTGGTACAAAAATGTACACATATTAAACCCAAAATATTCAGGAGCTTGGTGGTGAAAAATCCAATAGACAACTTTCGAGTTCGTTGCATTTCCGTCAAAAACTTTGGTTTTAGTGAACATCATTCGTGCGTTTAGGGGCATCGTCACTTCCGTTCCTATGGTGAGCGATTGGTTGAAAAAAGATGATGCTATATTGCACGAATTATTCAGCAAATTAAATTCTTATAATTGATATTCAGTACTGCTATCATTAGGGAATTGTGATAAAGTACTTACGAAACAAACATTATTTCTAGTTTATCCTGCATAATGACGATCACAAAGATGCTTGATGAACTTTAATAGAGCAGGGATACAGGTGATCCCCTCTATCTGGTAAATGACGTCACAAAGGTGCACAAAATTGACGAACTTTTCCAGTGAAGGACATAACTCGAAAGTGGTCTATTCGATCTTTGTCTGATGGGTGAATTCTAATTGAAGATGCATATGAAGAAATATTTCACTCAATTACATAAAAATTGGTGGGTTAATACCCCAATTTATGAATTCTTCTCTGGAGCTCTGGTTATGGCAGGATAATGATAGGAAACAGTGACTGCAGAGAGGTTGTGCTTTTCTTGTGCTGCTCAGTATATCTTAATACATGAAACTTTTTTCCAGAGGGGATACTTGAGGACTTTGCAACAGAGGGTACAGACAGGAAAGATGTATTTTTTTATCAGGTACTTTTTGTAATGATTTCATATTTAAAAAAATGTTTGTATTATTTTTAAGATAAAAAATAGACAAGCTGCTTCACCAGTTATCTTAACAATATATAACTAATCTTTCATGAAATGAAACAATTAATTCCATAGGCCCCTCTTTAATTTAATATCAGATAATTTTTATTTCAATGTTAGAATGATCTCCCCTTATGCACCTTCAAAAATTTTATAAACAGGCAATTTTGGGAATTTTCAAGGTTTCGGAATTAATCAAAATAAGCATGAAATAATTTTTCCTGGCTTGTAATATTTTTTTGTATTCTAGTTAAAATTTTGTCATATGAATTTTAAAAGAACTTTAATATGCACAGGTGTTAGGCAACTGTGCAAGAACTTTAGAAATTGTTCTCTGGAAGCTGGTAAATGCAGTGTTTTTAAAACAACAGACAGATGAGATTTTCATTGTTCATGAAATTGTATTTTTTCTAATTGAAAACTATTGAAGATTGACAATCAGACATTCTATATGAGCAATTTAGTCTTAAGATAAAACCAAGAAGAAAAGAAAATATGAATTATTTATATTAAAGTAAAAATAAATCTGAAAAACTAAAAGAGATAATGCTATTTCAGTATAATTTACCTGCTATCTTTTACCCCTGATTACAAAAAAGTGGTAAAAATAATATTTAATATGTATTCATATTACATGCATGTTTCTTAAAAGTTAATGTTGTGAAAAATAAAATTAAGGGAAAAAATAAGTTTTACATTAATGTTGACTTTTTCATAAGTCATGACCGATGTAAAAGTAGCATGCAGTAGGAGTGATTTTTATCTTGTTTCTTGCATTAACATTGTACATTTGATTTACAGCTGTCTCCTTGCACCATTCTCAAAAGTAACCATATGGCTTTGTATGGCTGTTTAAAAAGGCAAATTAACTATAGGCATTTCTATTTTGTAGGCTGATGATGAACATTATATTCCCAGAGCAGTTTTATTGGATTTAGAGCCCAGGGTTATCAACTCTATAATGAACTCTCCATATGCTAATTTATACAACCCAGAAAATGTCTACCTCTCAAAGCATGGAGGAGGTGCCGGTAATAACTGGGCTAGTGGATATACACAGGTACAGTGCAAACTATTGGCTTCTTTTGAAAACATTGGTTACCGGTATACACATAAGTATCATTCATTGGTATTCATAAATTAGGAGAGAAGGTTAAGCAGTAACTCCTTAACTAATGGCAATCATCCTGTTACTTATATCATATGAAATTTGTGAAAAGTTGCATTCCTTGATAATAGAAAGGAGGAAAAATGGACAGGGTTTTAGTTACAACAAATAAGGGAGATTAACTGAGCTAGCGCTACTGACAATAACTGGACCAAGGATACATGTACACCCTAAATGTTAAAAAATGAGCATATTATGCTGCAGTTATTCTGTTATAAGTGCAATATCACTTTATTAACCAATGACATGGAATACATTATAAATTGTCCATTTAATACAATTATCATGATTATTCTATGTGTCTGAGAACTGGTGATTAATATAGGTCTAGAACAGAAAAACCAGTTGTTACAGATTTAAACTGGTCTAATGTAGGATTTTAACTGCCGGTTATTGGTTCTAAAAGGTGTCTAAAAAAGGAAGTGCATACTACCCAATACATCAGATTTCAAGTCTTCAACAAGTTTGATGTTAAAGTTGTTGTTATTTTTCATATGTTATGATGGTTGTTTTCTTTGAGTATATACAATTATGGCCCGTAGTCTACTAGAAAAGGTGAATATTCAGAATGGTCAACAATGAAAGATTATTTCTCTGAGGGTAGGGACTCTGTGGGATTTTTTTTTAAGAAAAAAATACACAAAAAGCATTTATTATTTGAAATATTTATGTGGTAGAAATATACTAGGACAAGAGTTTTCATTTTTATGTTTGACCTTTGACCCCAAGCATCTGCCTGATATTCATGAATATATACCTTTTGTCTGCCAACATTCCAATTTACAATAAAAACACACTAAAAAACTTAGTATTATAACTACCGCAGCACACATCATACACAAAATGAGCAGAAAGGATACAAAAACTAACTATTTCTTATAGCGTATGACCCTTGTACGTGAAAATCTTATTTCGCACAGGAAAATACGGGAAACTGTACTAGTTAGCACAAAACGTTAAAAAACGAAATTTTCAAATGTTTTGAATTGTTAATTTCCATGTACTTTTTTGACCATATGATTTACACAAATAGCAGTTTCTTGTTTTAGAAGTGTAGCAAGTGTTTAATAAGACTACCATTGTTAGATGCAAAAGTCGGTTTGTCTAAGGTCCAGGGTAAGAACTGACCCCCCCCTATTTCTACCATTTTTTATTATGATAAAATCAAAGAAAATTAGTTTCAATCCACCTTTCCATGTGAAACTCTCTACATCAACCTTAACGATTTCCAGATTTCAGACAGTAATAATGAATTAAGCATAGAAATAAAAATTAAAAACACTAATCCAGGCACGTATCATATTTATTATGCACATAATTTGTTTTTCATATTTACTGCAAATAATAACTCAAAAGAGTCAAAAAGAAAGACACGAAGCTTTGCTTCAAGTCATGATTTTGTATTTATTTTTGTGGTTATTTTGCTGTCTTGTTACTTTATACATCTCCTTTCATTCATGAGCCAAGATAAAAAAATCATTGACAATTTGTTTTATGTCCAGTGGCAAATATTTCAAACACATTCAGGATGAGAACAAAATATAAATAGATGTAATAGCTTGGTTCTGTAATACGGATCGACCGGGGAAAAGGAGGGGAATTTCAACAGTCACCAGCTGAAAATGTGGGTATAATGGATAGGGCATGAATTTTCTCCTTTGCATCAGGCTACCCACGGACCCATAAAAGAGTTGCTGCAAAAATTCCTAACGTGCAGGGAGCGTGGTACTCTCTCTTCACGAGGCCTTAATTCGTCCCTATTCTAACCGGGCGTGGTTGTGTATTCACACATCCCACACAACAAAACGGATGCTCCACTTTGCCAAGGGTTTTACTTGTGGTTGGAGGAAAACCACATTTCTATACCACCAGTCACCTTTGGGGTTCAAGGATGAAGACATGCTACTGAACAGGTCTTGTATGTACAGAAAATGAGAATAACACAGGCCTGTATATACGTAACATATATATGTACAGGCACTCTTTCATACATTCAATTCAAAATATGGACTTAAAATATGAACAATTTCATTATATGTTATGAATTAATCTAATTTAACATGGCCATGTTCAGATATTATTATGTTGGTATCTTCTTCTGAAAAAAATAGAGCTAAATTTCCCTGAATATATTAGACATCAGGACAATTTCCAAAGAGTCTTCATTATTATCAATATTTAGAGTATGATATCTTCTTGTGTATACTTTGAAGGTCTAACCACAACATTATGACATTTCTTTAAAAACATATCACCTAATTATGGGTCGAAGCTGCAACTAAGGTAGATTGTTACAAGTCTGCACATGTACATTTGTACCACAACAATGAAGAAGAATAGCATACTTTACCAAAACCAATAAAATTGAGAATGGAAACGGGGATGGGAAAAGAGACAACAACCCGACCAAAGAGCAGAAAAAAGCCGAAGACTACCAATGGGTCTTCAACACAGTTAGAAAACCTCGCACCCGGAGGTGGTCCTCAGCTGGCCCCTCAATGATAATGTATACTAGTTCATCGAAATGGACGCCACACTAAACTCCATAGAAACGCTCATTCTTGTATTTCAGATACAAATCATTTTAGTTGTTTTAAGGATATCTTTCAATGTAAAATTTTGAATATCATTTTATAATATTTTGTTTATACATACTGTTTTAAAACTGTCCCCTACAACAATATATAGCACTGAATAACCCTTTGAATTAATAGATAGATATGTGTAAATTTTTGGCAAAATCTTCAATATGTATTGATTTAGACTCTAGAACACTTCGGATTTGTAACCTCCAAGTAAAAAAACTTGTTTAATATATATAAGATGTTATTTTTTAAAAATATTAATCGAAATATTACAATGCATGTATTTGAATAAATCCGTGTGATGGTGGATGAAAATGACAACTATTTCACATGAAGGAGTCAAACCAGCTAAGAAACTCTTATTCATCTGTAGATAAATCTTTATACATGACACGATATGTGGTTTATAATTATAATTGGCTTAATGTCCAGTTGCAAACATTTCATATATGCTCAATAAGTTAGCAAATCAAATTATTCATTTATTTATGGTCTTCAAAAATAGACGATCGCGGAATGAAGGGCAGGAAATTAAGACTTCAAACGTTATAGCGGGATTGTTAAGTATGTGTGTGGATTTGCCTTGCAGAAAGATAAATGCTCTCCGCAAACAAGGCTTCAAATTTAAAGTTGACTTACTGTTGCTTCGTATTTATGCATCCGATATACCAAACAGCTAAAGTACAGCCACCTCAATAAGGGTCTTACATCCGAAAAACCTGGGCCAACAATTCGGTTTGAAAAAGGGATAGTATAGCCATACATATTTTTAATTCAGGTTACAAAATGTTCAAGCTTAGAAACATTACATCTGGGTTAAAAACAGCTAGATTCAATACATCTTTCTTTAATTTATATATAATATATATAATTTGAAAGGAACTTTATGATTTTCAGGGATATATAGTTTTAAAAATGATATTATTATGAATGAACGCTGTAACATGTAAATCTAAATCACATTAATATAAACTGTATCGTGGTAAAAAATCTTAATCCAACTTGATAAATGTTGTTAGATCTTAAACATATACATGCAACACTTTGACATACGCTTGGTTCAAATAAGTGCAGCAATTTTGCAATTTCGAAATGAATTTAGTGAGTGGTTTAGTGTTTTTTGATTGGAAGCATTTATGTTACTTTCTAAGACCCCGTTTACACTTGTTAAAAAGATCAATCTATCTTGAGATCGAAAGATCGATCCTTAGTCTAATGTTAACGGGAAAGATCGATCTTCAATCGGACTTACAAAGTCCACCTCCAGAGGTGGTTTTAAAAAGATCGATCTTATTTGAATCGATCTTTCTTCAGGTGTAAACGCTAAGATCGATCTCGATCGATCTTTCTTCAAGTGAATGATATAGTTAGATATGAAAATAAATCTGCGCATGTTCGGCGGCAAAAACACACGTGTTTAAAAACGATGGATGGGAAAAGATTCCGCCGTTTTTGCATCATTCTTCTGAATCGATAAATTCTAGTTCTTTGCTGCAAATCCTCATCTTCAAAGGCATTGACAGTTTGTTTTCAAGTGATAGTCTCCTCGCAATTTTTTGTTTAATGGCTTGTGACGTGTTAACCAAAAAGATAATTGATAACTGCATACGAAATTCCAATGATCCAACTATTTTTTCCATAATTTTGCAGTGTGTGATAGTCCGCGCGAAATGCACTCGTTATTATTCAAATCAATTTTTACGATTATTTGTTTACGAAATGTAAAGTAATCAGGTCAGACCGGTTCTGTTTATGTTGCAGTGTAAACGCACTAGATTAGATAAGATCGATCTCGATCGATCTTGCTTGTGCAAATGTACACGCGAACTTTTTAAGATCGATTTAAATACAGATCAGTTCAATTTCGTACAAGTGTAATATTTTAAAGAAGACGTGTTTCATGTAGTATGTGTTCCGTGACACAAATTCAAAGTTGAATCAAATGCTTCTTATAAATATTATACTTGGTTCCTTCAAACTTAATCAATACTGAATGGTTATAACTGAGGACAATCAATAACAAGCTTTTATAGCCGACCATAGGGTATGGTTTTTTTCTCATTGTTGAAGGCCGTACGGTTGCCTATTATTGCTTACATCCACTTCATTTGAACTTTGATGGATATAGTTGTCTCTTTTGCAATCATACCACATCTCCTTATTTTTATTTTGTTTGTATCCATATTATTTTAAGATAAAACATGATGTAGTTAATTCTTTTTTGCTTGTTTTGCTTATTTTCATTTTAATTTTTCGTTAAATCATTTTGACTTTTCTTTTTCGTCTTGTTTTATGTTTGTTTTGTTTATTTTTTTTTTGGGAAATGGGCGGGAGGGGGGGGGGGGTATAATTTATTTTTTTCAACATTTTTTACAAAACCTGGACCATTCTAATTTTTAAAATAGAAAATATTTACGTCGCTTGTATTGCATATTTTGTTTGAATTCAATTATAATAATATATTTTTTCTTTAAAGGAAAGTATTAATTGGTTGAGTAAATAGATTATTTATACTTAACTCTTACTATTGCATTACAATTTTTATTAAGTTATGTGAATTCAAGTGTACAGAATATCCTGCACAGTACCTCAAACTATTTTTTTTTATAAACAAAGGGAATTAACCCTTATCAGGTATCTATGATGACAATATTTCATGAAGTTAGTTTTCGAGCGAATCTTTGTCGTATTTGTGCAAGTAAATATGTATTCGAATTTATAATCTTATTAATTGACAACAATGGATCGTGAATAACGCAACCATTACGTTCGAGTGTAATTTAGCAGAAATTGAAAGTTTAACTGATTGCATGATGATGTGAACAGTGAATAAATATAACGTTACGGCGCTATTTTGGTTCTTTTAATGCTGGATCCTGCCGCCTTTGACGCACTGGCGCCTCGTCAATTCGTAACACATTTACATAAACTGGACATTTTTGTAAAGATAATATGTTGTAGATTGCGGGGAGCGATGGATCCTTGAAAAATATGTGAACATGGGGTTTCTTTCGGGTGAAAACTCAAAATTTTGTAGATTTTCTTCAAAATTAGACACCTTATTGACGAAATTGGATTAGGATACCAACAAAATTTTACTGTTCTCAACTTCAGGATGATGCATGCAAAATTTTGATGTCTGTTTACGTTTCTATAAATAGCGCTAGGTCCCGATAGGATATCAAATTGTTGAATATGATAGCGAAAAATAAACGTTGTGGATAATATTACCGATTTTCAAGTTGTTATGAAATATAGATACAAAAGGGTAAAGTCTATAACTTTTAGCCTAGTTTGAAGAGCTAAAATTCAAGTTTCCTGTGATATTTTATTTTTAACTGACATCGAATGAAAAAGTTTTTATTTTGTAATTTTTACCGACGTCGATAACACCAATTATGCATTACGGCAGATATGAGTTTATTGACGTGACGTTCCCACAGAGTCCCTACTGAGGGAGCTCGAGCAGTCCCAAGTTTATAGGGTTGAAAATCTTGGATATGCACCACTTATAAGGGGACACATTTGTTATATTATACCGTATTAACAATAGAAGGGCCTTTCGAACCATTGAAAATACATGTTTAAAAAGCTCTTGCACATTGCCTTGAGCCAATACACCAAAACTCTACCCAATGCAACTGTACTTGAACATAATAGAGGATTAATATGAAAACACACTTTTAATAACAGTATAATATAATACAGCCAAACAATATATAGGGTTACTGCATGAATATTGTGAGCAGATTTTTATATTGCGAGTGCAATATATATTCTACTAGGGATAAATTCACCAATATACATACATGTATGAAAACTTTTATTGTATAGCAACGGTTTAAAGCTTTTTTTGGTCACTGATTACATTGATAATTTGAAGCTGTATTTGCACTAACTATTACATTGAGATACAATAAAATATATTTCTAATCTATGATATTACAGGCAGAGAAATTATATGAAGAAATATTTGATATAATAGACAGAGAAGCAGATGGAAGTGACAGTCTGGAGGTAAATCTAAATGCTTAATGAAAATAACTTTATTACAGTTTAAACAGATACAAATCAAGATTGTCTTTGTAAAAGTAAAATACAATAGTAAAAATATACAAATGATTAGTTAATTACAGTAATCACTATTTGGATTTAAAACAACTAATTTAAAAAATTTCAAATTTGAAACACATATCTATATGACAACACCATATATAGAGTCAACAATTTCCAAACCTAAGAAAAGTAAAATATTTAAAATTGATAAAACAAAAAAATTCTGATAACAGCCATAACCATGGAATTGTAATTTTAACTTTGATAGAATTGAATGCTTTTTTCTACGTCATTTGGTCTCTGGTGGAAAGTTGTCGCATTGGCAATCATACCACATCTTCTTATTTTTATATTACCGTTAATAAAAAGAATTACATCAATGAAAATAATTTTTGTATGAAGATGATAAATATTAAGTGCTATGATGCCATCATTTACTGTGTCATCATTATTAAGGAAATATATATTATATTTACCAACATGCTCTTTCTGAAAAATGGTAACCTTGGAGAATAGAATAAAATTAAGATATTATATTTTTTTGAAGGGTTTTGTCCTTTGTCATTCCATAGCAGGTGGAACCGGATCAGGAATGGGATCATATTTATTAGAACGGTTAAATGACAGGTTTGTAATAAACACAGTGTACAGTTTCTTACTTTGTGTCAATGCTGTTTCTATATCACATAATATACATATATCAAAGGAAAGGAAAACATTTTATATTTTAACAATTGTATTAACAGTGGGTAATTTTATATTTCAAACACACTTTATATGTATAAATAACTTGCATTTCACTTGACCCTTAAACTTAGTTCTTCTTATAATGTGAATTTAGACTAAACATATAAAACTATGAACTCTAAACAGAGATTATTATAAAAGTAGAAAATGCTATATTATTTCCAGTGAGACACCTATCCATCAGAGACCAATGATGTAAAGGTAATGAACTATAGGTCACAGCACAGCCTTCAACAATGAGCAATACCATACCGTCATGACCATATAGTAAGCTATAAAAGGCCCTGACATTACAAAATGTAAAACAATTCAAACAAAAAAACCAACGCCCTGATCTATTTACATCACAATAAACATAACCATTTTGCCAGTGAGACAACTATCCATTAGAGACCAAATGATGTAACGGTAATGAACTATAGGTCACTGTACAATAAGCAAAACCCATACCATCATGACCATATACATGTAGTAAGCTATAAATGTCCCTGACATTACAAAATGTAAAACAATTAAGAAAAAAACAAAAAACAACAGCCTGATCTATGTACACCACTATCTCAGGTTCAGGGGAGGGTTGAGCACTCACAAACATGTTTAACCCCGCCACACTCTTTTATGTGCCTGTCTCAAGTCAGGAGCCTGTAGTTCAGTGGTTGTCATTTGTTCATGTCTGTCATATTTGTTTTTTGTAAATTGTTTTGTTATAAATTAGGCTGTTAGTTTTCTCAATTGAATTGTTTCATATTTTTCATGTTGGGGCTTTTTATAGCCAACTATAAGGTATGGGGTTTTCTCATTGTTGAAGGCCGTACTGCTGCCTATAATTGCTTAAATCCACTTCTCTTGAACTTTGGTGGATAGTTGTCTCATTGGCAATCATACCACATCTCCTTATTTTTATACAAAACTATAAACGTAGACACCATTTTATCGTATTATGAATGATGAGGTCAAACCAATACATTGAAATACATATAAATGTATAAAGTGTACCCAAATTACTCCTTCGCGATTAGATTATTACCAAAGGAGAAGGTCCGGTAAGGGCTTGTTTTGGCCTAATATTCGAAGTACATCTAATGAAAGATTTTTGACATTTTTTAAACACGTAAGTGTCTACTTCAGTCGATTCAATTAGTGTATGTTAAAGATTTGGACTGATTTGGTTATTAAAGATGATCAAATAGAGGCTTAAATATGAAAAATCTATCAAATATGCCATAAAACATCACTTTTCAGATTGTTTTTGTCTAAAATGAAAGTGGCCGCATTCGTGTTCAGTCTCAACCTTTATATATGTTATGTATTATCATCAAATACAACATATATTTAAATATTAAGATGGAACACAAATGCGGCCACTTCCATTTTAGACAAAAACTGCCTTAAAATTAGCACAAATGCTAAAATTGTGAAGATTTCAGTAATATTGCATGAACTTATGATGCTATTACCTGATGCATGTGCATTGTATTGTCAAAATCAGCCCATATTAATGGAACAGAAGTATTCTTCTTTCCAATAAATAGCTAAAAGTTTACATTTTAACAAATTTGTAAAAATGCTATATTTTGGGGCCAAAAAGGGGTCTTACCGGGCCTACTCCTTTCTTGATTTTGAAAAGCATTCTTTTTGGAACAGATGCAAATTGATCCATTTATCACATTAATCTTTTATCTTTTATTACACAATTTGTTCTATTAGAAATTATTTTCTACATGTTTTAGGATCTAACTTCTTTCTATTTACTGAAATGGTACATAAAACTGTTACATGAAATTACCAAATAATGTTGACAGTTAAAAAAAACAACACCAACCAACAACATATATAATGCCTCCAAGAATATGAATGTAAGACAGGGAAAAATAAACAACACATGATCAAGATACTGAAGCAGAAATTTAGACTACAAAGTTTTAACTGTTCTTAATTTTCAGATTTCCAAAGAAATTAATCCAAACTTATTCAGTTTTTCCCAACTTAGATGAAATCTCAGATGTTGTTGTACAACCATATAATTCTTTATTGACCCTGAAAAGACTAACACAGAATGCAGATTGTGTGGTAAGTTTTGAATTAACATTTCATGATATTTCAAATAATTTCCCTATGAACAATCATTTACAATGAGTAATTGAGAAGAGGTCAAGATTTAAACATCTACAAGTTGTAGAACAATGGTGTTTGGTCAGTGAATTTAACTGTGATATTAATGACACCTAATTTGAATTATGTGGACTTTAATGTATATTTTATGTATGAGTGACATATTTCATCATGTTAAAGCAATAGAAAAATGACTTTTAGTGTACAGATACATTCCTGTTTGTTTTACAGTGTCATTCAAACATTTTATTTTTTTACATATATTTTACTTGTGTTCAGTTTTGCTATTAAATTATTTTTTTTCATTTGAAGTAATGATAAGGACCATGGATATCTTAGATAGTTATTATGTTTATGAGAACATTATTCAACCTTGACCTTTGTATGCTGTTATCTGCATGAATGACTCCAGTTAAGTTTAGTGCTCTGACAGCATCTCCTTAAGTAATAATATGTTAGATGTGGATACTCACTTAAAATCCACATTGAATTTCTGTATGAATTTAGCTGAAAAATATAATGAAATCCTTGCCAGCATTGGATTATATTGATGCTCAACAACATTCAATAATGAGGTATTGAAAGCAGAAAATATACAGTATTCTATAATGTGACAGAAATAAAAGATTTACAAATTTGATGCTTTGGTCCAATCAGTTAAATGTTCCTAAAGATATACTCAAAACAGATACAGCTTGATAGTGAATGATTGTTATTTACAGGTGGTTTTAGATAATACAGCTTTACATAGAATAGCAGCAGATAGATTACATATAGACACTCCATCATTTGCACAGATTAACCAACTGGTAAGTGTAATAACCATAGTCAATCTTATAAATTCACCAGCATTAAGTATTCACATCTCCATTTCCCTGCTGCATAGGGGACAGAGTAAAAGGCTTTGTCCCTTCATCCATATTTTCATCAGTAACACTTCATGAACTCTACTTCTCTTAGAAGCTTTCATACTTGCTAGGATTGTTTTTCATACAGTTTGAATTAAATTACTTTTGCATGCAAGGATTTTAAGATGGCAAGGCATCAAATTCATAACAGGATTTAAACAAAATAAGAAAAGGACAGAGCTTCACAACATTCCAATCACTGCCTGCAAAAACACAGAAATGTTTACTTGATGATCTTAAAGATGGTTAAAAAGAAATTTCTAATATTTTCACAGTTGTTATAGAGTTACACTTTACAAAATTAACATGATGGTTATATGATATACTCTCTTGTGCTGTCAGTCATGTTTGTTTTTTTCATGTCTGGCCTTTTGTAGCTGGGTTTTTCTCATAGTGGAAGGCTGTACAGTAGTGTTGTTCCGATGATCGGAATAAGTCGGAAATCAGTTGGTTGGGCCTGGCAATGTCGATAATCGATTGGAATTTTGTTCAATCGATTGTTGTTATAGTTTCCAGACTTTTAGCATATCAACTTCCGGTCCGTTTCCGGTTTGCTTTTTATGTGCACAGTCAAAGAAATTGTAACGAAAAGTATCAGTCGATGATAAGAACAATGTCAAACATCCTATAATCAAAGACATAAGCAATTTCTTTCTTTATAAACGTGGTAAAAGCATTGACTATACAGATTGATCGTATGTATTTAAAATAAATAACTTTTTATGAAATACTTTCTTTCAATTCCGGTACTTGTTACACGAGAGCGTACATGAAATCATTCTGATTTTAGACAAAAATAATTTTTTTGCTACATTAGAAGGTGGTGCAAATTGCCTTTTATTAATGTTCCATCCATTTGTTGTGTCAAAAACGTCCTATTTCTTTCCAAATTGCTAGTCATGATTTATTTTTGTAAATTTTCCGGGTATGTCCGCCATTGAAATACAAACGAATCACGGATTAGATACAGATCAACTATGTAAGAATTCTGCATTCTTGCAATTAAAAGTACAGACACAGAAATGACACAGCTGACAGAAGAATAATGATCACAAAAGTGAAAAATAAGCATTCCACACGAATTAACAGACAATGGTTGGATCCCCTTAGTTAAATGTATATATTCCAATGCAAATGCATTGCTTTATTTTTTGATTAATTTAAATTGCTTAAAGTTAAATACTTTATATATCTTTTTTATAATGAGAAGCATTCAAATTTTTATACAGCTATGTATTTGAAATTATAATGTGAGTAATACCATTGAAATTTAGATATTTTAGTGAGATTGTTGGTAATAAGTGTTGAAATTATAAGACAAAATATGTTCAATCTGAATCTGGATTCTAATTGATTCACTGTTTTAATTGATAAATAAAATATGAAAAGGAAACAAAAGATCAAATATGTACATTTAAAACTCTGCAATGATATGGAATATATGCATTAGACATGTCAATGTTACTAAATGCATGATTTCATTTTAAAAAAAAGGGCAAGGTATAATGATGCGATTATAACAGATAGTCGGTTGGTTGCTGTCAATCAATAGTTATAGATAATCGGTTGGTATTTTCAACCGATTATCCAACACTACTGTACAGTGACCAATGATTACTTAAATCCACTTAATTTAGACTCGGTTCATTAGTTGGCTCATTCGCAATCATACCACATCTAATTATTTCATATCTCATACCAGTAACTGAAGTTGATATATTTTACCATTAGGTGTCAACAGTTATGTCAACCAGTACAACTACATTACGGTATCCAGGCTACATGAACAATGATTTGATCGGACTGATAGCTTCACTTATACCAACACCCAGGTTACATTACTTAATGACAGGCTACACACCTCTAACAACTGCTGCACAGGTAAGTCATGGTAACAAAGGTCATAACCATTTAATCATACCAGTTTACCTACAGATGCACAGGTTAGTCAGTCAGGTGTTTACATCACTTTATTATTACAGTTGTAACTGTGGATACACAGGCGGGGAGTCCAGTAACTGTTATACACCATCATAAAGATGGCAATATAAAATGAAAGGCTACACATCTACAAATATAGATATCAAGATAAAAATAGTCAGGACTAAATTGTTTTACTTATACCTAAACAATGTTTAAAATTAAATAAAAAATTTGATATTTTTCTAGTGTGTTCTCAGTTTCATGTCTTTATTAGTCCCCTACCGACGAAGTCGAAGGGGACTTTAGGTTTGCTCTCTGTCCGTCCGTCATTCTGTCTGTCCTGTCAGTCCGGCAAATCAGTTTTCCACACTTTTTTTCTTCATGCTTGAAGATATTGATTTGATATTTGGTATATTGTTTTATCATGACAAGTTACAGATCAAGTTCGAATTTTGTTCCGGTCTGATGATTTTGTGCAGAGTTATGGTCCTTGGACAGAAAATTCACTCAAATAATCAGTTTTCCGCACTTTTTTTCGTCATGCTTGAAGATATTGATTTGATAATTGGTATATAGTTTTATCATGACAAGTTACAGACCAAGTTTGAATTTTGTTTCGGTTTGATAATTTTTTGCAGAGTAATGGTCCTTGGACTTAGAAAATTCACTTAAATTATCAGTTTTTCGCACTTTTTTTCGTCATGCTTGAAGATATTGACTTGATATTTGTTATATAGTTTACACCATGACAAGTTATAGATCAAGTTAGCATTTTGTTCCAGTACAATTAATTTTTAACTGGTAGGGGACTATGTATTGCCATGCAATACTCTCAGATTGCTTGTTGAATTTCACTTTAATAATACCAATTGATATTTGTTTGAGAGATTCATTGGTTATAAATTGCTTTATGTTGTAGGTAGCTAGTGTAAGAAAGACAACAGTTTTAGATGTGATGAGAAGATTACTACAACCTAAAAACATGATGGTATCTACTCCTGTACACAGACAAGCTAATCATTGTTATATATCTATATTAAACATTATCCAGGGAGAAGTAGATCCAACACAGGTAAGTATCTTCACCAATTTTAAGTTTGCTTGACCAAATTTTGAGGTGTTTTGTTACGTGCTATCAGGTGTTTGATTTAACTTGATTGTAGTTCATCTAACAAGTATCTTGAATAGTTCCTTGTATAGATGTTTTGAACTGCTTTGAGCTAAATTATGATGTTTTGTAAGGTTATATGAACTTACTTTTTTGCAGATAACATTTTGATACAGTAAAATTTCTTAAACAAAAATTCCTTTAAATGATTTTATTGTCTATGGCATCTAAACATGGTGACATCATATGTATGCTTCCCACATCAACACAGGGCGTTTTCAGGCTTCTTGTACGCCTCAGAATGTAATACAATAGATATAAAGAAAATTTTTGGTGAAAAATGTTAGTTTTTAAATTTATAATTGAATGATATTATTAATATTATTGCATTGGGGTAAAACGGAACAGCCAAAACAGAATTGTGTGTACAGGACTTTCACTGTTGACAAAATTACCTTATTTGTCCTATTAGAATTGAAATGATTCATGGCAGCCGTAAATTATTACTTAATTGTACTAGACTGAAAAACAAAGCCTCATATTTTTTGTATGCCATAATAAAGTAGCATATGTTTTATATAGCTTGCTACATCTGGTGTGTCTTTTTAAAATAAGTTATGTTTTCAGGGTAGACCAGATCAATACATATTTTGCTTAGGATTTAACATTATATCTTTAGATTTGCGTTTGCTGGTGAGACAGTTATTGGTTGAAGTTAGCATTTTATTTAACTAAAAATAAAGAAAACTTGATGCTACGTTTGGAGCAATAGAAGAATAAAACATTTTTGAATTCAAATTTGAATTTCCTGTAAGCATGCTTTACTGTGTGATGCATTTTCAAATTCATTGCTCATCCACTTCCTGTTTACCGAATACATATATAATACACATAATTGCCTTGTATGAAATTATAGTCACATTATTCTCAGGAACTACAAATTGCGACTTTCTAAAAATTGGAATCATCCTTAATGTGAGCATGCTATGCTTTACCATGTGCTGTGAATTTACTTATTTCATACATCAACTTCCTAAATACCTAATACTTATATGTTATAGTGGGGGCATCTTTGTAAGCAATAGCTCACAGTTAATCTTGAATTAACTCCTTTTATTTATCCTTGAGGATCGGAACAAAAGACCTATATATTAGTTGCACCTCTATATTGTCCAGAAATCATGCAGAAATATATCATAAAAAAGGGAAAAAAAGGGCAAAAAGATTTCTTAAGGGAAACAATTTCTTCTGTCTAAATGCTACTTGCTTAGGGGAGAAGTACTAAAATACGAATTTTATACCTGGCTGAAATTTCAACTTGAGTTGGGGACCCTACAACAAGAACACAAATGTTATGTTGTTGAAGAAAATGCATTTGTTCTTAATAAACATCAGCCAAAGTATGTCAGTTGCCTTTGGTTTGAACATAATAACCATGATTTTACCAATTGAAACATATCTTTTTTCATGATTTATTGAAAAGACAAAACTTATGATAATTTTAGAATATGTCCATGTAAAAAGTGCATAACAAACCCTAAGAAGTAAACAATGAAATTGTGCTCAATCGGCAATTTATGTTCTGTTTTAACAGGTTCACAAGAGTTTACAAAGAATTCGAGAACGTAAGCTAGCACAGTTTATCCCTTGGGGACCAGCAAGTATACAAGTAGCTTTGTCAAGAAAATCACCCTACATACAGACAGCCAACAGAGTCAGTGGATTAATGTTGGCAAATCATACTAGCATTTCATCTGTAAGTATATTGACTACCAACAGTCAATGGATTTTATTATGTAGCTGTAACTTTTCCATTGTTTAGTTTATGTAGACGCAGCCTACTGTACAGTATAATCTATGTGCTCTTTTTCGCATTAAAAACAATTTTATAAGGGCCCCGCCGAATGGCGGACGCCCTATAGTGATCAGTCTGTCTGTCTGTCCGTCCGTCCGTAACAAATTGTGTCCGCTCTATATCTAGAGAACCGCTAGTATTTCAAAGTTTATACTTGACATGTATATTAACCAACACCAGAGGGTGTGTCTTAATGTATTTAAAACTTCCTAGGTTCAAGGTCAAAAACTTTGGTTTTAGTTGACAACCCCATGTCCTATGGTAAAGATCGTGTCTGCTCTATATCTTGAGAACCGTGAACCGTTATGATTTCAAAGTTTATACTTGACATGTATATTATCCAACACCAGAGAGTGTGTCATAATGTATGTACAACTTCCTAGGTCAAAGGTCAAGGTCAAAAACTGGTTTTAGTTGACAACCCCATGTCCTATGGTAAAGATCGTGTCCGCTCTATATCTAGAGAACCGTTATGATTTCAAAGTTTATACTTGACATAGATATAAGAAGATGTGGTATGAGTGCCAATGAGACAACTCTTCATCCAAGTCAAAATTTATAAAAGTAAACCATTATAGGTCACAGTACGGTCTTCAACACAGAGCTTTGGCTCACACCGAACAGTAAGCTATAAAGGTCCTATGGTAAAGATCGTGTCCGCTCTATATCTTGAGAACCATTATGATTTCAAAGTTTATACTTGACAGGTATATAAACCAACACCAGAGGGTGTGTAATAATTTATGTACAACTTCCTAGGTCAAAGGTCAAGGTCAAAAACTTTGGTTTTAGTTGACAACCCCATGTCCAATGATAAAGATACAAATTTTTTACCACACATTATTCACAGCAGGGCCCACAGAGCTGGCTCCCATCTCAATTATATCTAGTTGATTTTGTGGGGAAGATATAAACCAACAGTGTTAAAATCTATATTCAGAGAAATTAGAAAAAATAGAAAACTACAAGGAAACCAGAAATAAAAAAATACCCATATAACTTAAGCTGTAGTCCAGCAAATGGTTGTACAAACTCTCTCAACAATTGATATCACATGCTCCAAAACAGATCAGCATATCTTGTTTGAAATGCCTCACCTATCTAAAAGCCCAGAATGCTAAAATGGGTCATACTGAAAGCAATTTTTTTTACTGGTTTGTTTTAATTATAAATGAGAATTTATACATTAGCTATAACATTGTTTTTTTTATACCATTAGTTGTTCGAGAGGACATTAAATCAGTTTGATAAGTTAAGAAAAAGAGAAGCCTTCATGGATCAGTTTAAAAAGGAGTCTATATTTAAAGACAATTTGGATGAGTTTGATAATTCAAGGGAAGTAATTCAACAGTTAGTGGATGAATATCAGGCAGCAACAAAGCCTGACTACTTAGCATGGGGCACACAACAGGTTTGTATACATTAATGTATTTGAAATTAACTCCTACATTCCTAAAGTATTTGAGACTGTGTTCACACTAAACATTTGTGTACTGTAAACCTGTTTAAAAAATAGTTTCAGGCAATGAACATGGTTTCCACCTTAAATTTGTTTTCATCTGTAAACCTGTTTAGATTACATACACATGATAATTGTTCACAGGATTAAACTATAAGTAATCTAAATGCACATTATATAGAATTGAACTGATAATTTCTCTTTTCAACTACTTAAGAGTAAGGCACAGACTATTCCTCTTTTTTGGTAGCAGGAGGCAGGTTTGTTTTTTTCTAAGATTATTTGTTTGATTCAAAATTTCTTGAAACAGAATTATTTGTTTCAGAAGGGAAGTGAAATAATAGTCTTGTTTTCATTAGGAATAAGGGAAAAAAACAATTCCATACTGAGTCTCAAAAACAAATTCTTGTTTTGAAAGTTATTGAAAAGGAAAATATTTGTTTGTTTTTTGTGTAAAGTTGAAATATATTTCTTGTCTCAAAGGAAAAAGGAATCCCCCCTTTCCCCCTTAAAAAAAGATGAATGTTCCCTGTCTTATGAAAATTGTTCTTCTGATTTGGAGTACTTTAAGAGTTCTAATTTCAAGATTACGTAATAAATAAACATAAGCAACAGGAGTACCTATAGACGAAAAATGGATTGAAGGTTAATGTTATTTTAGCAATGTATGATTACTGCATTTTTAACTTTTATGTCCTCCCATATTATCTTTTCCCTACACCTAATATAAAATTTATTTTTTGCATATGGGCATGCTGCCATAAATTTATTAATGCTTCAGTTTGTTAGTGAGTCCACTCAGCTAGGTAAGACTTTTTAAGTGAAAAATGATCTATTTGAGTCTAAATTGGGGTTTATAAGACTACTAGTACTTTATTTTTTTTTAATAACAGAGCAATACTTTTAGTTTCAGACAAATAAATTGGTATATGGCTTAATTCATAATAGTATAATAATTATGTTCATTGAATAGATGTTTCTCCTGTTAATATTCGTGATAAAATTTATATTCTGAATATCTAGTTTTATTGTCTCGCCTGCGACGAATGTGGCGGAAAGCGAGACATAGCGATGGCATTAACAATTGTTTAGATTTCTGCAGAAGTTAGTTTGACAGGAACTGCTTGTGATAGATCAATAATATTTTGTAGGAAGTTGCATTACTATCAGTACATATCAGTTTGATGACTATTTTGAGGCCCTGCCCCCTAGGATATTGTCCAGTGGCTTTGAATTAATTAGCAATTTTTAATGTTAAGTTTTTCTGCTTAAGTTATATTGATAGGAACTACTTACAATTAACAACGATATTTTCTATTAAGTTACATTGCTATCTGTATCATGGTCCAGTGACTGAATTAATAAGCAATGTTGCTGTCCATCAGATTGTCTTTTTCTGAATTTTATACCGCTAGGCAAGACATTTCTCTGTGTCAACAGTTTTTATAAATGAAGAAGTTAACAGCTATAGGCCTAGGTCACAATAGTGACAGTACGGCCTTCAACAATGAGCAAAACCCATATGGCATAGTCAGCTATAATTATGTACGCTTAACCAGAACAAGGCCATCATTGACTATCAATTGCATGTAATCAAAACTTAATTTAAACTACATGTGAACATAGTATAGTTTTAGTTTTCATCTTGAGGACACCAACACTACATATAGTTTAGCTCAATGTTAACATCCAACATTGTTGTCATGGCTATAGATAGAATATTAAGTCTTATGTAAAATCTGTTAATTGAGAATATTAAGTCTTATGTAAAATCTGTTAATTGACTGGTTCATTTGAGTTAATGTCCTTAAGTGACAATTTTTACCTATGCATTGCAATTTCATTACAAAGTTGTTCATCAACTCTAAAACAACTAAAACAATCAACCAAACTTGACAATAATGATCCTGGTGAATTAAGATATTAATTGTGAATTATCTCATGATCAATTAACCAACATGACCATCATGACAGAAAATAGAACACACTATAAAAATAAGGACATGTAGTTTTCTTTAAACTTACTACACTTCTTAATTTTTATCAGAAGAAAATATTATTGACACTTCTTCTTAAATTGTGTTATATAAATTGTTACAAGTAAATGCTTCTGGTCACCTGTAATAAACAGTTTCCTAATTAAAAACTTGCTTAATTGGGAAAGACTGGATCATTTCTCACTAGTCCCATTTGTAGAATAGAAATAAGGTTGAATTTTGACCCTGCTTAGTGTGAATAGGACTGCTGTAGATACAATTGATGTTCTCATTTGAAAATTTACAATTAGAAGATATAACAAAAAAGATAAATGTTTTATTTTCCCAGCCTCCAAAGAAGTTATAAATGATACGTAATGTAATTATACTTTGTCAGCTTTCTTAAGATCTAGTAATATGTATTATAATAAACAAAAGTGAAATTGAATATTTTTTGAACTGCCACATTACTCAAAAAGTTTTGTTTGTTAATTCAGGGAATGAAAAATTATAGTTGATGTCTATCAAAAGAGCCCTTGCTTTGCAGGGAATGAATATATGTTATTATAATACAAATAACTGGATATTGATACAACTGCTTTCTAAAGGGGTACACAAAGTCAATATGCTGCTTTGCACTGTTAGTCTTATGTAAACACATTATGCATGTTCAATGTGGATACAAAATCAAACAATTTATTTTTTATGAACAAAATATTTTGTTTGTTTGTGGTTTGTTGTTTTATTTTTTCCTCAGTTTAGTTTTTAATACGCCCGTTTACGGGACATATTATGGTATAACGTTGTCCGTCCATCCATCCGTCTGTTCATCCGTCCGTCGTCAACATGTATGACAATAACTCAAATTTATCCAATTTGCATGAAACTTTGGGGAACTGTTAATATCCTTTCGATTTTTATAAATTTCAGAATTTACGTTTCAGAGTTATGGGGTTTTATTCATTAAAAAAGGGGGATTTTCCAGTTTTCCGACAATATCTCAAAAATGCTTTAAGCAGTTTTCGTGAAACTTTGGTGAATTGTTTATATCTATTGACGTAAGCTCCCTTTTGATTTTTATAAATTTTAGATTTTACCTTTCCGAGTGTTTGGATTTTATTCATAAAAAAGGGGGGGATTTTCCAGTTTTCGGACAATAAATGCTTTGAGCATTTTCATGAAACTTTGGGGACTGTTTTATATATATTAAAATAACCTCCATCTTAGCATGTTTAGTTTTTTTTTTATAAATTTCTGATATGACATTGAGAAGTTATGGAACTTTATTCTTTGAAAAAGTGACTGGCGTATCATGCGCTCATGGTGCAGTTAAATATACAAGCAATTTCTTTACTTGAATTATTTTAAAGTATTTGGTTGACTGCTTCTAATGAAATGTTAAATAGCCATGACCTAAAATCAAAAGTTGCAAAATTGGTTCATACAGTTCTGCTGTTTCTATTTCTTAAATATAAATAAGAAGATGTGGTATGAGTGCCAATGAGACAACTATCCATCCTAGTCACAATAAAGCATTTTTTAATGTTATCTGTAAAAATGATCCGAGTTAAAATTGAATTTCAAGAATTTTGATATAAGCTGTGTTGTTTGTTCATTACGGTATACACATCTTTATAATGAGAATCCACTCAAATTTGGAAAATGAATGTTGGTTTAAAATTTTTGTAGGATTTCAGCCCATGAGAATTTGAATTCTTTTCAAAATAATTTTCTGTTGAATCTACACAGAAACCATCCATTTATATCTAGTCAAGCTGAAATATGAGTTGGTGTTTTGGTTGAAATTTATAGTTGATGGTTTAATTTCTTTCAAAACTTCAGAAATTGCAGAACATGTATAAGATAACCTTGAAATGCATTGTTTTTAAAGCATCTGGGATCTGGTAAATGTCTTTGTGCTATAATGATGTTGTTTTTTTCTGTCATGTTTACCGGTATTTGTATTTGCACTGAAATGGGTTCTATATCTTTTTGTGGAAAGAATCCTTTTTTTTTCTGTAACCTACTTAACTGTTAAAGAGATACACTTTATAAATTGATAAATGCAGAAAGGATTAAGAGTGGTTTGTGAATGCTTCTGTATTGATTTTCTTTCTTCTTAGCCACCTTTTATGCTAAAAGTAAATTTAAAGCAGGAAAAAAATAAGGCAAATAAAATCTTTTTGACACTGGATGAAAGAAACCTAGGATATTTCATAGTGAGATAGGACATACTTATTTCATATTGACTATGATGGTACGTGTGGGATGAGTGAGATAGGACATACTTATTTCATATTGACTAAGATGGTATGTGTGAGATGAGTGAGATAGGACATACTTATTTCATATTGACTAAGATGGTACGTGTGGGATGAGTGAGATAGGACATACTTATTTCATATTGACTAAGATGGTACGTGTGGGATGAGTGAGATAGGACATACTTATTTCATATTGACTATGATGGAATGTGTGGGATGAGTGAGATAGGACATACTTATTTCATATTGACTAAGATGGTATGTGTGGGATGAGTGAGATAGGACATACTTATTTCATATTGACTAAGATGGTATGTGTGGGATGAGTGAGATAGGACATACTTATTTCATATTGACTAAGATGGAATGTGTGGGATGAGTGAGATAGGACATACTTATTTCATATTGACTAGGATGGTATGTGTGGGATGAGTGAGATAGGACATACTTATTTCATATTGACTAGGATGGAATGTGTGGGATGAGTGAGATAGGACATACTTATTTCATATTGACTAAGATGGAATGTGTGGGATGAGTGAGATAGGACATACTTATTTCATATTGACTAAGATGGAATGTGTGGGATGAGTGAGATAGGACATACTTATTTCATATTGACTAGGATGGTATGTGTGGGATGAGTGAGATAGGACATACTTATTTCATATTGACTAAGATGGAATGTGTGGGATGAGTGAGATAGGACATACTTATTTCATATTGACTAAGATGGAATGTGTGGGATGAGTGAGATAGGACATACTTATTTCATATTGACTAGGATGGTATGTGTGGGATGAGTGAGATAGGACATACTTATTTCATATTGACTAAGATGGTATGTGTGGGATGAGTGAGATAGGACATACTTATTTCATATTGACTAAGATGGAATGTGTGGGATGAGTGAGATAGGACATATTTATTTCATATTGACTAAGATTGAATGTGTGGGATGAGTGAGATAGGACATACTTATTTCATATTGACTAAGATGGTATGTGTGGGATGAAAAATAAGGAGTTATTATAAATAAAAATCCAGTTAGGATGAAAGGATGTCATATTGATATTTATCAATTAATTCTCATATAACCCAATTGAAAAATTAACAAAATATTTATTTTAAAGAATGAGATTTAAGTTTTTGTGATGTAGAATAATTTTCATAAAATGTGCTCTTAGTAAATACTACATATTATTATTTACTTACTTTATTTTTTTTTATTTCAGGCATCTGGATCAGTGGATAGAATTTGAAGAATGGTGAATGAAATGAATCTCATCTAACCCACATCATATGTCTGTGATCTGACTTGTTTTAAGTGCTATTGCCATTTGTCTTACCACAATGTGTTGGACACTGATGATTTTGGAATTATTTATAGACACAAATAGCCCATGAAACATTATTGCAATAAAAGTTTACTTAACAGCAAAATATTTATAGGGAATAGACAGTAACAGCAAGATATTTATAGGGAATAGACAATGATCTATTATTAAATATTTTGAGAAGTATTCTGATTAGAAAACTGATGTTGTTATACCTTTTAACCTGTCTTCAAAGGAATGAGACATACTGCTTTACCTCTGTTTGTCTGTCCTTCCATCCAATTCCATTCAATTCAAAGATTTTATTGTTTAAATCAATTATATTTAAACAAAGAGATTGCATAAAGACTCAGCCTATATAAATCCTTCCATTCCATGAAATTTAAGTGCATTTATCGCAAAAGGGATGCATTTTCACATTCATTGCCCATCAACTTCCAGTTTACTGAATACTTATATATTATCACCCATAATGACCATACATAACATTTTTGTCAGTAATTATAAAATCAGCATCCTGAAATTTGGTATCAAGCTTAACATGGGCATGTTTTAATTGTTTTCAAATAAATCAATTGCACATCAACTTCCCTTTTTTCAAAAACTTATAGCAGAGGTATCATGAGTGAGCAATAGCTAACACTTCATCTTGTTGATTGTTAATACATTATGTATTATAATTATAATGAAGATGCAAGGGAAAGGTTTCCATCATAATACATTAAGAACATGTCACAAGATTATTTTTTAATAATGTCAGTCAGGGGTACTACTTGTACAAGTTATTTTTATTTACTGGAAGAAGTACAGAATAATATACTTATATAAGTAAACTTGTTATATTCATATTTTCTTATAAGGTTTGAATAATCTCCCCTTGATTGGAAAGAGTTCCATATGGCACCTCCACCATACTAAAAGAACACAATGATGTATTACAGTTTATTCCGTAGGGTGCCATATGGAACTCTTTCTGTAAAAACATGCCTTACTGTGCGGTATGGGCTTTGCTCATTGTTGAAGGCCGTACGGTGACCTATAGTTGTTAATTTCTGTGTCATTTGGTCTCTTGTGGAGAGTTGTCTCATTGGCAATCATACCACATCTTCTTTTTTATACTTAAACAGTTTTTCTCTAGTTAGCTAATAATTTATGATTAGAGTCTCATTAATTCAACAAAGAAACTAATGCAAAGATCTTAAGTAATTGCGTAGGCCTTCAAAAATTGCCCCTTGGAGGCTTGTAAATGAGCAGTGTTTTGAAGGTAACAGACAAATGAGATTTTCATTGTCCATGAAATTACACTGAAATGGTTATTAAAGACATCTGTAAAAGACCGACAATTAAAAATTTTATTAGAGCAAAGAAGTCCCGAGAATTTCAAGAAAATACGATAGTATGACTTTTTTACTTGTACATGTATAAATAAAAAAATCTGAAGGTCTAAGTGACATAACTAAGCCATTAAAATAATTCAGCCATACAAGTAAATAAAATACACTTGTATAAATATCTTACAAATTTATTTATATAAGTATATTAATATTTACTTCTTCAAGTAAATAAAAATAACTTGTACAAGTAGTACTCCTGACTGAATGTATTATTCTGTATGTGGATTTGTCTTAAATTGTTTAGATGTTTGAAATCTCTGATATTTGAAAACAAATTCTCTGCTCAGTGATTTATATATTTGCATCTGTCAATGAAGATTCTAGTAATATTAGGGATTTTACAGAGACAGACAGAATACCCTGACCAGGCTGTCATTAAGATAGCATTTATTTAGTAGCTTTATGTAAAAATCTGGCTAAAATGCAAGAGACTATTTTCACCAAAACATAAATAGAATATTTTTGTATTGTATTTTTGCATTTTTATTTTGTACCAAATACAAGTTCAAGAACTTTTACAGATTTTTGGTTAGATTTTCAGGTTTAAAAGCTTTTATATAAGATATTCATAGGTAATATGCCACTGCGAGCTATTGGCATTACAGTCCATCAGCAGTCCAAGTAGCAACTGTGAGTTATTGCCATCGCAGTCTATCATCAGTCCAGTTCTTTATATTATTGTCTCCCCTGTGAAGAAAATCACAGTATGTTAGACATAGGGATTTCAATCGAGCTGCAGCAGCTGCAATTATTATTTGTATAAAGCTTTACATTTTAGAGGGTAGACTACTTGGATGGTTTCTACCTTTTATACAGATGCCTTATGTCAAGAGGCTTCCATCTGTCATATGCACATTGTCATTGACCTCATTTTCATATGTACATTTTCATTTTCATGGCTAAATGACTAAGAAAATATACATTTTTTTTGGTCATGTGGATTTCTCACTTATTATAAGATAACTTATTCCATATGTGAGTTCCTTTCAAGGTCTACATGTACCGCAGACAGGATTCACTTGACCTCAATCTAGTTTCATTGATCAATGTTTAAGGTTAAAGATGTGATAAGGTCTGTTTATTAGCAGTAGGTCAACTATATATGGTTTATGGAATGATTGTAAGATGTACATGTCAGTCTGGCTGGTTTTATCTGTCCTTGACCTCATTTTTTATGGTTTATTGGTCAATGTTAAGTCTCTGTAGTTTGGTCCTCTTCAGATACTATAATGTATTTATAAATATAAAAAGTTTTTGCTGACTAGCCAAGATCACTTTCATTTGTGAGAATAGAATAAAGTTAAAATGTTCAATAAGTCAACATGACAGACATTTGAAAGTATAAAGCAAATTCAGTGAAGTATAAATAGTAAAAAACCAAATTCTTACAAATGTTTAAAGACTTATGTAATTGTTACTAAGGTATACAAAAATGATATAATGATATCATATTGTGAGTTATTTTTCCATGTGAATAGATAAGAGCTTTGTGCACTTAAGTACTAGACAAAGGGATGCTAATCTGGCAGCAATGGTGTAAACTATTTATGTAAAGCTTTATATTTGCCTGTCACTTTATTTGAACTTTATAAGACAAAAGAGCTGTGGTGGCAAAAGGTGAATAATTAAATTTTAGAGGTTTTTTTTGGCAGTGACTTCCGGATTGCAAGTATGGACACACAGTTGTGATAAGGAATATTATTAAATGGAAATGGTAATGTTTAAAGTCAATGAATATCTATTAATACATATCACCGAGTTAAGCTTTGCCTTTAAAGTTATCTTTCAAGTTGGCATTTACCACAGAAATTAAGAAAAAACAATCATGAATTATTTACATACAAGGTAACTTGCTCAAGCATGACTCAAATGTTTATGGAAATTGTTGTGAATATATATGGATTTTCTTTAATGTTTCCTTTTCCATGGATTTGACTATTTCATGACTGAAAAATGATTTGTAGTAAATTTCAGTAGTCTCCCTTTAAAACAGTTTGTGTTGTGGTCCACATTTTTGTAAGCTATATTTTTATCAGATAACAGTAAAACGACAGAGAATAAAGTAATTCAACCCATATTACAGAATTACAAAATTGTTTATGCCAATACATTGACTGAAAAAAATACCAAATAGGCGATAAGGCTTGATAAATGGATTTTTTTGCAGTAAAAATTGAGATACGATCAAAGGTTTAAAGTTTTTCAGACATCAATAACGTTTTCAACGATTTTTCCGAAAATTGGACAGAGCTTTTTATGATTCAGAGTCAAAAAATTTTTAGGCATCACATCAATAACACTCAAATCTTTTAAGAATGTTTTGCCACTTTACAAGAATAAAATGAGAATGGAAATGGGGAATGTGTCAAAGAGACAACAACCCGACCAAAGAGCAGAAAACAGCCGAAGGCCACCAATGGTTTTATTTTTAAGGGATCAAGTGCTTTGGAAATGTAAATAATATAAAAAATAACTTTTAAAGTGATCTCGATACTACATTTCTTATTGTTATCATGATTTCGTACTGAAGATGCAAAATATTTGTTACTGAGCGTTGAGCAAACACTAAGCTATCAACTAAGCCTTTATGAAATTCGGCGTTTTGCAATTGTAAATGCTGAAAATACAATGTTTATTCATCTTGAAAATTGCACTATTTGTGGATTACTTTTCCTTAGTATTACAAGTTTAATTGTCATATTTTTACGCCATTAGTAACTGCAGAAGGGTTATATATATATGTTTAACATCGACATGAACACTACAAAACGTCAGGAAATTTAAACAGTCATTATTCATTTTGAAATTATTCAAACTACACTACTGCCAATAATCTCAATTATTTCATGGTGTTTCTAATGTTTTTAATAGTTGATTCACGTGAAAGTGCATTCAGCCCATGCGAACGATCGAGTCAGGCTTTTGCAACTTCGGCACCCGTTTCAAAGTCCGTTGAGGCCACCATTTTTTCTTAAAATGTCCTGTACCAAGTCAGGAAAATGGCTATTGTTATCTTATAGTTCGTTTCTGTGTGTGTTGCATTTAGTGTTTCTGTTGTGTCTTTGTTCTCCTCTTATATTTGATGTGTTTCCCTCAGTTTTAGTTTGTAACCCGGATTTGTTTTTTCTAAATCGATTTATGAATTTCGAACAGCGGTATACTACTGTTGCCTTTATTAAACTCATCCACCGTTCATGCTCTTGCCCAATATTCATCTTGGTCCTGCATAACTCGCCGAATCCGTACCAACAAAGACACAACAATAAATTATCGCGAAAAGAACGTTAAGATGGATACCAAAATATTGTTCACTTGTATTTTATATTCGATTTGTTCTACATACCATTGGAAAAAATCCATTTGTACGGCTGTACATGCATCAGGTCAATTCAGGGTTATATGAACATGGGCGGATTTTCGAACGATTTTTTACAAAGATATAAACCATGAATTATCGTATAAAAGTCTTGAGATGGGTACAAAATTATTGTTCATTCGCTATTCAGACATTTTTTTTAGTATAAGAAATGTTCAATCTCATTGAAAAAAATGAATCTATATTTTTGGGTTAAATCGAAGATCCTATTATTTAAAAATACTTAAGATATCAAGTATTTTAAAGTCCAATAACAGTTCACAGTCAAATGTACATGCGGACAAGACAATTAATTTTTAGCCTTCCCCCTTATTGCAAAATTCGTTATTTTTTTGTTTTCTTTTAATCTTAACTATTTTGTGCGCTTTTTTCTTAAATGGGGGAAAAAGGGAAAGAAACATTAACAACCAATGTCGACATTTTTTTTTATCTAGGATAAGTATACATAAACATGTGGTGTAGGATCCACACTCACTATTGACATTTACTAACAATCCATTCCTACTTTTAATTGATGTCAATTATAAATTTTCAATGCTGTTGTTGTGAGTTGGTTTTTCTGTGATATTTATATTCACATCTTCATGGTTGTTTGATAAAGAGACTGGAAGAGTTTTTTTCTTAACGAAAATTATCAACATCAAATTAGTGAAATGGATTTCAGCTTATAAGTTTAGAGATTTTTTTTCAATATTGCAAAATTTAACAATTACTTTTAATAGCTTTCGTAAAATATTCATCGTTATGAATGTCAAATCAAATATCATATGCCATACAACGCGCCTTTTCTGAAACTTTCTGAAAAAAGGCTTCAAATATATTTGTATTGATATTTGGTGCTTTTACCGGTTCAATGGAAATAATAAAATACATCGTAAATATGTATTGTATAGGAATATTCCTTCCTGTGATGGGATACAATAGCAGGGTATGTATTTTATACATAAAGTTTGCCGAAAAAATGTTTTCAAGTGAAATTTATATTTTATCGGATAAAATACGTTTATCTTCTACTCAAAGAGAAAAAATCACGGAGAATAACAAAAAAAGATAAATTAAAAAAAAAAACAATGACTTCAAAGTTTTACATAAAAGATATTATTCAATTAGAACTATTCATCAAATTAAATACACTGAAATACTATAACCTATCTGTATCAGTAGTGTAAGCTATCGAGCATACTTTCAAAAAACTGGGAATAATTATATTTAGTACTTTTTTTTTACCTTGATGTCCATTCAATGGGTTGTTCGTTCATAGATTCAGAAGCGCATTCAAAAACTACGATGTACCATGAGGACACGGGTTTAAAACTCTTTCAATAAGTCTGAGGTTGTCGATATTTTATCCTCTCTTCGCGACATATATGTTGTTACAGACAAAGCCACAAACAATATTGTTTATGTATACAAAAATCATTATTTGGAATGATAATTAAAGAACTTGGAATTCACAGTAAATATGGGAATCCCACATACATCCCTAAACCATTCATGAAACAGGCCATATAAGAAAATACAAAATCCATCCTTTTGTGACCGTGATAATTTACATGTACTTCTAGTGTGAAAATATAGAAACTTTTAGAATCGTTTATTTCATTTAATTTATCTTCCAGACAATTATTCTATTGTCTTTCATGTCAGTCATTTTAATCTATTGTAATCACAATATAAAAATTTATGCACTCCAAATTCATTTTCAATTATTTTTGTATTCTTATAAATATATATATATACAGGCCACGCTGTGCAGAACAGTAAATATATATATATATATAGGCCACGCTGTGCAGAACAGTAAATATATATATATATATAGGCCACGCTGTGCAGAACAGTAAATATATATATATATATAGGCCACGCTGTGCAGAACAGTAAATATATATATAGGCCACGCTGTGCAGAACAGTAAATATATATATATATATAGGCCACGCTGCGCAGAACAGTAAATATATATATATATATACAGGCCACGCTGTGCAGAACAGTAAATATATATATATAGGCTACGCTGTGCAGAACAGTAAATATATATATATAGGCCACGCTGTGCAGAACAGTAAATATATATATACATAGGCCACGCTGTGCAGAACAGTAAATATATATATAGGCCACGCTGTGCAGAACAGTAAATATATATATATATATATAGGCCACGCTGCGCAGAACAGTAAATACTGTGTTGAACATAAATTGGAACTATTTGAAATTGAATTAATATAGTACTTGGTATCCAAATTGATGTTTTACTTACTTATACTGTAAGCTTCTCCCTAGAGCATTTGTTATATCAGGGTTGTCTTTGAACTGGACAACTCAATTTCACAAACATCTATATATAAAGTACGATATATAATCGTATCGTCTAGAAGTTTGGCTAAAAATCTTTCTAAAGTTTCTACTTCGCTTCTTTCTACAGTAAAAGATGAACTTCACAAATATTTTGGTATATTAAATCAGTCGGTCTCTCTCCATTTGAAAATCATGCAAATCCCTCAAGTTTTTATTTTTACCTTGATTTGTATATTCTGAATGTATTTATGAGGTTTGAACATCTGTACTGTTGCCTTTTGTTTACAGAGTTTAGTGCTTTGGTGTAAAGATTTTCAATGTACGTTTGTATGTACATTCTTACTATTCCACTTATCACTGAAGCAATAAAACAAGTTGGTTTGATGCTGGTATCAGCGAACCGTTAGTATGTGTTGTCTCTGTCGTTATCTTTATACAATAATAACAAATCTGTATCAAATTCAAATTAATAATCTTACAAAAAACACCTCAAAATTCATTTTCTTCACAAAATAAAAAAGTCAAAAACTACTTAGTAATCTTGCAACCCAATATAGACTAAGAACCCCATCGATCCTTTGATAATATGTTTCTGAAACATGATTTTTCGTAAAATTCATATAAAATGTCGGGTTTTTTTTTGTCTGTCAAAAACCCTGCTAAAATAAAATGTGTTTTGCATCTTCATCACATATCAATACAAGACATTTTACTCAATCCGACATGGATGTTACACTTTAAAATATAAAATTACGTAAAGATAAAACGGACAGAAGCTAAGATATATTTTCAGCAATAAGTTAATGGCAGTATACATTTGAACGAATGCTATACTTAAAGTTATCTGCACATGTTGGTTATATTTTGAAACACATAACTATTGTCTTAAATATACTTATACTTTACACGCGCGTGTACAAAATTTTAAGCCTGGTATCTTTGATGAGTTTTTGTAGGTTGACCTGAAGAAAAAAAACACCAAGTTAGACTGCTTATATGTTATATGACTTTTATTTCCGAGAATCAATATTCCATCTATCATTTTGAAATAATGTTACCTTTAATCTTATACTTTTAAATCATATAATATATTATAAAATGTAGGTTAATGTGACATAATTTTTGTATAAAATATCGTCAATATCGAAAATGTATCCACTGACAAAAATATTCTCTAGGATTCATAACTGCAAAATGAACTTCCTGCTAAGATCTCAATACAAAATAAATTGAGATCATGACGACTGTGAAATCTTGATGTATAATATTTCGTTTTAATTTCTCAAACAATTTAACTGTTCGCTTTAAAGAGTAATGATTTGTTAACAGTCGTAACTTGTAATTTAGAAGAAAAATCATCCCTTATAACTCTATATAATTTGTCGTTTCATTACCTGAAATTTAACTTTTTCAATTATTTTGTTATATTCTTTTTCCTAAAGATTCCATGGTATCAAAATGTGTTTAACGACAAGAATAATAATCGTCAATTGCAAAGAGATATGTTGAATGCAGAGAGAAAAGACGTCCTTGATTTAATTGATACAATCAAAGTAAGTATTGAAACAGAATGTTGAATTGTCAATAGCGTTTGACTATTCAAATGGATAAATAGATCTTAGTGTTAGTAGAGAAAGGTCTGTATTAGCCTATTTTCTTTTAATTGAATTTCTCTTCAAAGGGCCAGTAGCCTACTCGGTAAACGGACCTTTCTCCTATGTACCTTAATTTAAACGTAGAGCAACAGAACAAAGCCTCTATTTTTTGTGATGAAATATAGTCAATTTTATTATTGGTAAAATCTAATAGATGAATTAAATGAAATAGACAGAATCATGTTGTTGAATGTGTTAGCTAAGGCAACATTATTTTACCATTAATTTTACAATATTGGCCATTCAAGGGTCTAATTCTATAAACAACAGATATATGTATTACCAATAATTAGTTGACTATAATACATTTGTTTTAATTGTTGTAGTGTCTCACCATCATCTGTTATCTGGAAATGATTTTTAAAAAATGAAAAAATTAACACTTTATAAATTTATGCGTCTGAAGCGCTTTCTTGATAATTATCTGCAAAAACACGTGCTGCACGATTAATTTTGAATATGCTTTTACTTTACTATAATTCTTTATGTTTAAAAAAGAGATTGGATGGATGACTATTTTTTGTAGAATTTTTCTTTTTCAAACTGTCTGATGCTTGACTTTTTAACAGAGATTAAAAAGCAACTTGCCAATGTCGACGTTGTACACGACCATACTTTTGATGCGAAACCACAATGTAAATTACCTATGACAGTGTCATTATCATTGTTCAAGCATCACCGCACTTTAACTTTGTTTCAATGGGATAGGTGATTAGACAATAGTGGAGTTTGTCACGGCTTCATAAAGTAATGCTCTATCAGCTAGTGGAGTTTGTCACGGCTTCATAAAGTAATGCTCTATCAGCGCCTGTCAACGTAAAAGTGTCGATCTATGGTGGCCGGATAAGACCATTTCGCGTTTTCGCCTTTCGTATTATATAGGGCGAACATGCAGAAATGAAAGTCGTTAACGCGAAAACGCAATGTAGAATACGCGAAAACGCGAAAGGATTTCACTTCTCGTTTTAGCCTTTGCGTTTTCGCGTGTTTGCGTTATCGACTTCACGTTTTCGCGTTTTTGCGTTTTAGCCCTATAGAATATGAAAGGTAACAGATAAATACAAATTAAAAAAAAAAATGACAAGAAAAATGACAAGAACTCGTACTAATGATATTTTGTCTTACGAACTTGAAAAGGCATATGCTACTACTGTTAATATATATTCGTCGCGTACATTTTGTGGGTCATTATGGAAATCGTTTAAAATTTTTTGGGCGATTCTGAAAAAAAATTAACTAAGATATATTTCAAAGATTTAGGTAGTTTGCATTGATTCGTGATGTAATAAGTTAAAAATGTTAGGTTTATGTTCGTTGCAATTAACTTTATTCATAATTCTTACCGAATGCTGGTCTCAATTGTTCTTCATGAAAGTTCTACTAAAAATGTGTAAGCCGCGCACGGAAATCGAAGTCATGCGTTATAGTATTAGTCAAACTATTGGTACCTGTTTAACATTTCTTATATCTTTATCATTATTCAAGGTTTTAAAATTCACTCAATACATGGATGGTAAGAAGAACGGTAAACGTAATTGGGACCAGTTTGCTGCTGCTGAAAAGGTAAAATATTTTCACACTTACTAATGCAATGAAAATACTAGTATTTTGTAGAGGAATAAGTCATTCATTGCAAACAGGTTAAACTTTGTGATAAGAGACTGTCCATTTGTCTGAACATATCATCTTATACTTAACAATAATTCAGTCATGTTAAGTCTTTCTGTTTCTTTTCAAATATTTCTACTGCAGCAAATTAAGTAGTTTTAGCCATTTCTTCTGTCGTCAATTACAATCCGTTTAGTCAATTTTAAAAGGGTTCATCGTTTGTTATTTACCTTTAGTACCGAAAATACAAGAACAGTTACTTAACAATTCCTAAACAACTGTTTTGAACACTACTTATTCTAATGCAACACTGTTTGTCAACGGAAAGAATAGGTTGAAATTTGGATAACTCCTATTTTTTTAGACCACTTTTTGTAAGATAAAATAATGTCTCCTATGAAAGATTGTCCTCCGGACTGTCCAATACTGTCCATGACAATTTTTCGCTGTGAAATAATGTCCATGATAATATTCCTTAATCAAATTATGTCTTCCATGAGGACTCCTTCAGCTCCGAAAGTACAAGCGTATTTAACAAATATTGTATAATCATGAAATGCTTCTTCAAATAATTCTTATCTGCAGTACACAAGCGTGCAAATTTTGAAATTCATATTTGAAAATAATAAGCAAAGCCAGTTTATATATCAAACAAATTGATGAACTACTATACATTGAAAATATGTCTTTAAGTTATATATGTTAATTGTACTTCAATATACTGTAATTCCCTCTGGTATTGTTTTGTGACTTAAATATTTCACTGGTTGCTTGTATTCTTTTCCAACCATTGTGCAAAATTGATTTTATGTTTATAACTGTCTTTATTTATTTATTTGGGTTATTTTGTTATCATAAAAAAAACCACTTTAATGATATACTGTCCAAAATGTAAATAGCTTTAACCTCCCTTTAGAAGATGTATTATACGAAAATTAATTCCTTCAGACTGATGTTTTGTTCAGTATAATTGGATGGAGAGTTGTCTCATTGGCACTCATACCACATCTTCTTATATCTATATAATGTTATTCTTATAATGTACTTGAGCCTAGCGAAATCATTGAAATTTGAAATATTGAGCATTAAATGTTACAAGAGAACAGAATAATTCAATAATTTGAGACATGTTGAACAGATTTCGTAGACTCTTATTTTCACTGACAACTGATTGTTTGTTCTAATGCATTAACCGTATCGATGTTAATTTTCAGCACTTTAATTTTGGTTTTGTAGGAAGACGATTATCTGGACAGTGAAAGTGAAAGATGTCTGAAACTATATGATAATTTTGATACAAAATGTCGAGTAGTGGAATTATAGGGCTACGACAGAGATGTGTAACTTTTAATCCCATAAAGATAAATAGAATAGAGTTTAGAATATAATTTTGTAGATAGGATAAATGAAACTATATTTTTTGGGAGAACTCATCCTTTATGTTTATCAATAATCTGTGCATATTTTGCAGTTCTCATAGCCACAATCCCATATCTTTTCCTTTATTATGACTTCAGTCAACGCAGAATGTTAAGAACAACGTCTTTCCCCTAATTGTTGTATGTAGTTTTAGAATTGAAATGCTTCATTATTGCTTTCTCAATGACTTCCACCCAACACATTCTCTTATTAAAATTTTAAAAGTTGCAACAGATTTTTTTTTGATAAATTTGATAATAAATTTTCTCACAAAGAAGGCATTTGGAATAAATCCAATTTACAGAAAGTATATACACTACATTTTTTAAGCACAGCTGGCCAAAAAGTTCGTTAACTTTTACAAAAATCTTCTCCACTGAAACTATGGCCACAATCCTCATCCTCTATTATCTTGAAAACCGCTATGAATAGTGAAAATCTGACAGGGGTAAAAATGTTCACAATGTTTATATCTTCCTATTGTCCTTAAAGTAAAAACAGTCAGACGACTTTCTTATAGGAGTGAATGTCCTTGATTGATGAATTTTATCTTTATTTCATTTTTTCGTATTATCTTGAAACCAATAATAGACAGAGTAAAACTTTAATAGCAAAATGATCAGTAAGACAAGATCTACCAATAAGTTAACGTAGCCGAAATCGTCTTTTAAGACGATTTTTACCATTTGTTTGTGTTTTTGTATGCTATCTTAAAAGCTATAATAGATAAATAGAAACTTAAATAACCAAAATGAATCTCAAGAAAGATCTTCACATAAGTCTGATGGCCGTAATCGTTAATTGATTCCTCATTCAATTTGGAGTTATTGCTCTTTATTGACGAATTTTTAATGATTGTTTTGTGTTTTTGACCATTATTTTGAAAACTACAAAAGATATATGACTCTTTTAATAAATGATCAGCAAGACACAATCTTTACACAAGTCAATATTGCAGAATTGGTCAGACGACTCTTTATTACAGTTATTGCGCTTTAATGACGATTTATTTCCAATTTTTAGTATTTTTGGTTCTTATCTTTTGATTGATAGAATGAAACTGTAAAAGGCCAAAATAATCAGCTCAGATAAGATCTACAAATAAGTCAACATAGTCGAAATCGTCAGTCGACTCCTTATTACTCTTTAATTGCAATTCTCACCGTTTTTGCGTTATCTTGAAAGATTTATAGATACTTTAAATAACAAAAATGATCAGCATAACATAATGTACAAATAATATAATTTGCCGAAGTAAACTCTCTATAGGAGTGATAGCCCTTAAATGACAATTTTAATAACCTTTTTCGTGTTTTGGGCAAAAATTAAAGAGGTAGAGAGAAACTGTAAACAGAAAAAAATGACCAGTAATACAAGATCAACAAACCGATTTTTGTCATGAATTCTAATCTTGTCTTCAATGTTGGAGAGTGTCCATGGTTGAAGATGCACATAGCCCAAGGTGAGCGATACAGGCTCTTTAGAGCCTCTAGTTACTAAATTCAATTTATAAATCATATTTCAAAACTCCTGTTGCAAATCACAATTCTAATACGTATAGTTACGATCTCATAAACACGTAAATCCGGTCCAAAATAATCAACAAATGTCATCAGAAACGTTATTGGTGCTGCATTTGAAATCTGCCCCAGTCATTTGTTATCAAAATATTAATTTAACATTTATTTTAATTAGTATTTTCATCCATAACCATTTGTTCCATAAAGTTATCAAAAACGATTTCAAGTCTAAACTTCCTTATTGCTTTTGAGCAAAAAAGAACCCGATTTGTCAACTTATTGGCTTCAGACCATCCCCTTTGACGTGGTATAGTTCCCAAGTATAAGATATGAAAACAACAGGTTATAAATTTCATGCGTCCGAAGCGCGTTTCTGGATTTACCTTCATCAGGAACGCTCAAAGTCGAATAATTGAAAGCAAAGGATGTATAGGAACCGAAACAGTTGAAGAGCTATATCACCAAAAAGGACCTACACAAAATTAGCCAGATCCATCTAATATGCGGTATTTATTCCTGATTTTTCTTGACACTGTTTTCTTTGAAAAGTTAACTATTTAAGAGGTCCTATGCATACATATTGAAATAAGTAAAACATGTGGGAAAAATATATTGTTGAAAGTGAAAATAGTAAAAGTAGGGTATAAATTAGCCTTCGGCATTTATTCAAGACTCAACTCCTACCCTTTGCATGTTTTAAGGGCTCTCAATAGAGAAAGTAACGATGGATTGTGCTAGGACAAGCATATTTTATTAGAATATAAGCAGTAGAATTTATTTCATATTTGAACTGGTGCAATTTTTTAATTCAATTTGATTTTTTCAATGAAAAGCATAGTCACCAATGATAAATAAAGGCAACAGTAGTATACCGTTATTCGAAATTCATAAATCGATTGAGAAAAAAACAAATCCGGGTTACAAACTAAAACTGAGGGAAACACATCAAATATAAGAGAACAACGACACAACAGAAACTCAACACTAAAATGCAACACACAGAAACGAACTATAATATAAGAATGGCCGTTTTCCTGTCTTGGTACAGGACATTTTAAGAAAAAATGGTTGATTGAACCTGGTTTTGAGGCTAGCCAAACCTCCCGCTTTTATGGCAATGTTGAATATAACATTAAAATGACAAGATCACATGACAGGACTACAATGCAAATAAATGGGAGAACATACAGGACAGAGACACACACAAATAATAGCTATCAAAAGGTACCAGGTTTATAATTTAATACTCCAGACGCGCGTTTCGTCTACATAAGACCCATCAGTGACGCTCAGATAAAAAAAGTTCGAAAGCCAAAACAAGTACAAAGTTGAAGAGCATTGAGGACCAAAAGTTCCAAAAAGTTGTGCCAAATACGGCTAAGGTTATATGCCTGGGATAAGAAAATCCTTAGTATTTAGAATAATTCATACTTTTGCAAACAGCAAATTTATAAAAATGACTATATAATAGATATACATGCTAACACCGATGTGGTGACGAACTACAGAATAAAAACGAATACATAAAACAACCTAAATCAGCACATAAAAAAAGGCACAGGCGAACAACGTATTATATGTTAGCCGAAGAAATCGACGCACAATGTGACGTCACATTTAAATTTCTATAAATTTCCAAAAAATAAGATAGAGTTCAAGATTAGGTTTGTAATACTGATATAGCATGTATTAATAACAATGAAAATTACAATACTTATTAATATAAAATTGTGGTAGTATTTAGATAATTAATTATTATCAAGCTATGTCGGTATTTCTTCTAAATCAAACTGTAAACCAAATACATCGTATGAATTTAGTTGACCCAAACTAAAATCTTATGATTGTGCTTTGGGGCCTTTTACAGTTTAGTATTTTACATTAACTTTATCAACAACAGTACTCTACTAAATTACTTTCCAAACTGCATACATATTAAAAAGATATATGATTAGAGCTGTAAGATAATTCACACAAATCGGAATTGAAAATCGTACTGGTCTATGAACACTAGGTTATCTGTTTTTCATGGTATCACCTACCAAGAAACCAGTGAATCGGTATTGGATAATTTTATGGATCTATTTGTCCAAAGAACGAAGTATGATTAAAGTCATGCTGGCCCTTAAAATTGCAAAAATCGAGACATTCTCCAATCCTTTCAAATATTTGTTTGTTTTATTGGTGCATGATTGTAATGATATAATATGGACACTTTAGTATATAAATGTCAATTGTTATGTTATTGTGGCGTCATAAAGATGTTTAAATTTCCGTTTGTGATTTTAAATTTCTATTTAACACATGATTTTTGATAAAATTAGCAAAAGCCTTACACAAAAAGACATTTTACATTTTCAAGGGCATGTTTTGTCCATAGTTAATCAATATCAAAAGAGTGGTCCCATCAAAAGTATATGGACCTCCGCCATTATGATTTACGGTAGTGTAATCTTTGAAAAATGGCATAAAAAAGGTCTTGAGTTCTTCAAATACATGCAAACAGTCAGAATGGTAGCTTCAATAGATTACTCTGGAGGCAGGGTTCAATTTGAAGAGCAGTATCGATTACGACAAGCCCTATCCCCCTCTTCCTCATGGTGAGTTGTCGATATTGACTATGGATATGATATAGCGTTTCTACTCCTAAAGTTAGACCCTCTTTTTATAATCATTCAAATGGAGATAAGCAACAATTACACAGTGGCAGCTCTTCCATAAATTGGGAACGGGTCACAATCTAGGACAACTCTGTACCTACAAAATGGGGGGGGGGGGGTGTCATTTTCTGGTTTCTCTTACTATTTTAATACAATGATCCCACCATAATTATTGACATTCTTGACATCTAATTCCGATCTCGAACGTGCAGGTGGTAGCGGAAAAGGTTTTGGAATTAACATGAAAGGGAAATGGGTCCAGGCGCAATTGGGTACTTTCTGAAATTTTAACCAACATCACCTTTCTAGAATTGTTCCCTGTAGTTATAGCGTTGGACATTTGGGGATGCTATTTGAAAAACAAGAGATTTTATTTCACGTAGATAATCAGGGCGTGGTTCCCACAATTAATAGAAAAAATTGTCAAAGTCTCCTAGAGCTATATCCCTGGTCAGAACGCTTGTATTGACATGCTTGGCATTTAACATATTTCTTAAAACTGAGCATATCCCAGGTCATTTGAATTCTATAGCTGACTCCCTGTCTCGTTGTGATTTTTCAGAAGTTTCAGAATCTATGCCCGATAGATGCAACCCTTTGTGTGATACCGACCCACATCTGGAAAGTTCAAAAGACAAAGCAGACTTAAATGCTCGATTGATTCCAACTCCTAGAAAACTTATAAAGTGTAGTAGAATCCTTAAAAAAAATTTCGCACTGTTTTGATACTTGACCGGGTCCTACCGACGAAATCGCCCAAATTATAGTATATCTGTCATACAAAGGGTTGTCTTCGTCTACAGTTTCTACTTACATTTCTGGGCTGGCCCACGCACATAAAATTCATAATATGACAAACAATACGAAATCTTTCATTATTTGAAAACTGATGGAAGGCTTATGTAAGAAAAATCCCCAAAAAACAGATGTTCGAACGCCGATATCATTTAACATGTTAAAATGTTTAATTTACAGTTTACGCAAGGTATTCGATTCTCATTATGAAACTTTTCTGCTTTTTCTTTTGCGTATTATACGATGTTACGAGTAA